GGGGGGGGGGGGGGGGGGGGGGGTAAATGGTGGAGGTGAGCTGAGGTTGAGCAGCAAATTGAAACCGGTCATATAACAATACTCAACCTAAAAGTGAAGTTCCCACACTAGTCGGGGGGTGCAATTATACTGAGTCGCTTTACATTTATGCGGATGCGTTAGAGGACATTTCGAATTTTATGTTCCACTATTGAACGCAATTATTGAAACTGAATTGTTGTCTTGTTACGATTAAAGTTCTGCTGATATTCCAAGTGATTTCGGTATTATAAATTCACAATTTGACGGAGAAGTCAATGCGAACTGTAAATTTCAATTCAATTATTGATTAGGAAAATTTAAGTTAAACTCAATTAAGCAATAATTAAGGATTTACAGACTAATGGTAATAATTTCTAATTTACTAACTTGCAGAGAAAAATTGCGAGTGGAGTCTTTATGCATATTTACCATGTAAAGTGTAAATTTTATATCTATCAGTTGAAGAAAGAATTAAACTTTTGGTGAGTTGGGGTGTGCAATTATACTGGGTCGTTTTACATTTATGCGGATGCGTTAGAGGACATTTTGAATTTTATGCTCAACTATTGAAGCGCAATTATTGAAACTGAATTGTTGTCTTGTTATGGTTATAGTTCCACTGAAATTCTAGGAAATTTTGCCCTCAAAAATTTACAAATTGATGTAAAAATAAATGCGAATTGTAAACTTTAATTCAATTATTGCAAGAAACGCAATGGAAATGAATAGAATTTAATGGAATATATTTTTGAATTCGCAATTCATTGAAAATCCAGGGAAATTAGGAAATTCTTGTCTTTTTGTTGCTAAAAAAATCGGAATTCCGTAGCATTTTAAGTAAAATTTGAAAATGCACTTTTTTCGTAATTGAAAATTCATAATTTAATGGGAAAATCATTGCCACTTATAATTTTAATTCAATTATTTAAAAAAATGATGAAAATTCCATTAAATATATTTTTAAATTGACAATTTATTGAAAATTCAAGCAAATCAGAGAATGTTCCGTTGAATTTCTAGCAAACTTTGAAGTTTCATTATTTTTTCTAATAGTATATCTATCAGTTCAAGACAAAATTAAAATTTTCAACTCGTTAAAGAACTATGTAAAAATCCTCAACTCGTTCAAAAAGTTTCAACAATAATTATTCGTCATTTTTCACGAAATATTACGATCATCATCGTAATATTTATATTGCGGAAGGTACAGTGGCTTGAAATACAGTACTGAAGCGTGAAGCCCCGGAATATCCCAACAAAAACCCCCTCATAGTCTCTTCACGCTCGCCGTTGGTTTGCGGTTTAGCGGCGCTTTGACCGCATTTACCGCGGTCCTCTCTCGCTCGATAGGGAGGGGCTTGTATCGAAGGGAGTAGAGAGGAGTCACGAGTGTTCGGAGGAAAGATGCCCAGCCCAAGCTCAATAAAAAAAAAGGGGGGGGGGGAAAGGGATGAAAGAGGAAGCAGTGAAAAAAACTAAATTCGGTCTTATCGAGCAAATAAGATTTTGTCGAGTCGCTCGAGTCTCCAATGTTGAGATCCGGCAGTGGAAAAGGAAGGGAGGAGGGCGGACTATTGGGTCCACAGAGGCGATTTGAAAGGTGGACACGGGTGACAGTGAATTGAGGAGTGAGAAAAGCACCCTTTGTCATACCTACCGCGTGCGCTCTCATATTTCTAAAGGCAGTAAAAAGAAAAACACCGAGAAATCCGATCAGATTGAGGGATCGAGTTACCGAAGATTTCTTCTCAATTTTATTTTTATTCCCCGGCGAATTCGTGTTGTTTGACTTTGAGATGATTCAATTCATATCGCGATTCTTGAAATCAACTTGTGAGTGAAGAGAGTCAATTAATTTTTCTTTTTTAGAATATTCAGATGATAAGATTGTCAATTATTTTTGTTAATAACTCCACCAATTTCTCGGGGTCATCTACTTACAATTTTTTTATATATAAAATTATATCTATTCAGTTTATTTCAGATTACTGAATATGAAAAATTAAAATTGAGTGAGAAAGGTAAAAGTAAAAAATAAATTACTCGTCAATTTTTAGCGAAACATTCTCAACATTTTTAATATTTATAGGATTTTCAATGAAAAATGTTAAGAATATAGAAAAAAAAAACAGAACAATTGAAAAGAGGAACAAGGAAAGAACGAACGTGCAAAAAAATATTAAAAAAGCATGAAATAATTGAAAAATAATGATGCAGTCCTCGAGAGCATTTCAGCGCTCCAGAAAACTCTCTGGATCACACCTACTCGTTATATTTTTCCTTCAAACATTTTCCCACGAACAAAAATCGTCATTACGTTGATTGCAGTCCCATTTGACTTTTGATATTTTCCCTTAATTTTTCTATTTTTCTCCGTTCAAAAGGTCCTCATTTGTACTCTCCACTAATTTCTCTGAGTGATTTATATAATTAATTTATCCAAAATTATGTATCTTCATTTTCCATCATATTATATTATACTAAAGTGAGATTAATATCCAAATTATTGAATACAAAAATTGAAATTCAATGAGCAAGATTTTTAAAAAATGAAGGATTCATCAATTTTTAACGGAACATTCTCAACATGTTCAACATTTATAAGATTTTTAATAAAAAAAATGTCGACAAAATCCTCTGAAGAATATAAAAGAATCATAAAACCATAAAACAATTAAAAATAACAAAAAAAAAACAAACGTGTGAAAAAATATGAAAAAATTGAAAAATAATCACGCAGCCCTCGAGATCATTTCCCGGCTCCCCAAAATTCTCTGGGTCACACCAGCTCGTTATACTTTCCCTTCAAACATTTTCCCACTTCCAAAAATCATCATTACGTTGATTGCATTCACGTTTGACTTTTGATATTTTCCCATAATTTCTATTTTTCACCCTCGAAAAGTTCCCCCGGGGACAACAAATAACGGACTGCACCGTTAACGAACAATGCCGCACATTCCGCCTCTGGTGAAAATCCACGTGTAAACAAATACACGCATGCCGAGAGTCATGGCACTGCACAGTGGGTGTCTCTCTGCGGGTGTCGGATGAATCGATTTTTCCAACGTTTGACGATACCCTCAGAGATATGAGATACCATGCGGTATAACCTCCACATCTCTCTCCTCGTCATGCACATTGGTATCGTATTATCCTCAATCGTATATACCAATGATTGCGTGCACTATCGATTGGCAAAACTGTCCGAGTATCGATTCAACCGACACATCACGAATGAGAGTTCCACGAATGCTAGACGTTTGCCACATGGAATACAGAATCAAGTTTTCTTTTGCACCTAGATGTTCACCGCGAGATATTGCAGATACGTGAGAAACTGTGTACGCGACAATGCTAACATCACTCGGGGGGGGGGGGATTTGCCTTTATATTTGTATCGAAATGCCGCTTCAATAAATATGGAGAATATTTTCTCACTCTGGAATGAGTAAAAAAGATGCCTTCACTTTTTATTTTTATTATGAACATGAGGAATATGTGATATGCGGAATTTTGTGCATTGAATTTCAATTTATTTGTGCATCCTGAATATTTATGAGTGGAAAAAGCGAATTACGAGGGGAAACGCGACAGAATACATCGATTCGTCAATTTATGGTTATATTATTTCATAATTAGTATTTTATCATTGCTTTATGTGGATTTTTAATCAATATTTTGATTATTGAATATGGAAATTGCAAGGGAATGAGAGAGATAATAGAAATTAATAATTCGTCAATTTTTAATTAAATATTCTGAATATTTTGAGTATTTAGAAGATTTTATAGTCGATGAAAATTAAATTATGTTTGAAATATGAATTGGCACAAGTATTCACGCTTGACAATCATCAAAAGCATTTGTATATTGCGATGCGGTGAGGGGAGAGGGAGGGGTCAGCATTTTATTCGCATCGAAATGCAAAATGCAATGCAGGAGCAGACATTTCTACTTTTTATTTGTAAAATATCATGGAAGAATATGTGGAGTGCCGAGTATTGTGGGTTGAATTTAAATTTATTTCCGCATTCTGAAGATTAACTGAATTCTGGTTGAAAAGAGCACAGTTAACAATTTTGGGCTGAAATTTCCGGTACATTTTTTGGAAATTTTCATCACATTTTAGTTTCACTGAAATTTTAAGGAATTTTGTCAATGAAAATTCAGAATTTCATGGAAAAATCAATGAGAAGTGCAAATTCAAGTTCAATTATTCCCCCAGAATTAGTAGAAATCAGGGAAATGCCGGTAAATATGTTCTAGAATTTCCAATTACTTGAAAATTCATCGGAATTCAGCACTATTCATTATCAATATTCATTATTTCATTGAAAATTCCTGTACATTAAAGAATTCTCATCTCAATGCGCTTAAAAAATTTGGGATTTCACTGGCAATTCAGTGAAACCTCAAATTTTTTAAGACATAACATGAAACATGAATTATTTCTCAATTAAATATTATTCTATCCACTCAGAATAATCGGTGGGATGTAATTGAATTGTTTAATTGAGATTAATATTCAGATGAATATTCCCAATACTTCCAACATTCACAAGATTCTTGCTGAATAAAAAAACTCGTCAAAAAGCGTCAAATAAAACGTCAAATACGAGCACAAACAACTCTTTACACTTGATAATAAAAAAAACGTTTGCTCGTTGCTCCTGTCCAATGAAACTAGTACCTGAGAAGCACTGACGATCAATATTTCTCTGATGTTACAGACGGAATTGTCACAGAATCTCCAGCAGTTGTCGGAGCGTGCCCGCTCGACGACAGAATTCATCCAGAGACTCAAAGGGATGACGGATAAAGTGCATGTGAGTATATACATCTACTAGGCCTTGCATGTCACAACACCAGATGCACAGTCGTGGCATTTTTATTTCCACACGTGTACACGAGAGAGAATTGAAAAGGAAAAAAGCTCGGGCGTATGAAACTGGGGAAAAGAGTGCGAAATGCCCGGAGCATTCTCAAAAAAAAAGAAGAGAAACAGAATATGAGACGCGAATACAGCGCATTGGACTTGACAAAAAAATGTTAAAATCCCCGGGCGTTTATTATAATTACGTAGGCAGTGATAAATGAAAACACAAAACTAAGAAGGAAGAATGTATGAGAGAAAAATTATAATAAAAGTTGAGGAGAATTACGGTAGTGGCTGCACTGACATTCTCTCCTTCCTTCAATGTGAAAAATAAAAACTTTGTCCGCGAAATTAGATTAAACCGGTACAGCACTGTGACAGTTGCAAGTGACGCTCTATAGTCCCTCTCCACCACTCAGTGAAAAAGATTTTAGGGTGAATTAAATTAGGAAACCCAGCGGGGGAAAGTACTTTATTGTTGCCTCTTCTACTTTCTGTATCTGAACAATTTCCCTGGGAATACGATTGACGTTGTCCTCCTTTGTTATTCACCCTGAAATGTTTGTGAGACAAACGTAACGCTGACTATTCCATTGACCAAAGTCCTCAGTTTTGCGTTGTCCGGGGGTTGAGAGGTAATTCAATGAATTGCGATTTAATTATCCAAAACAATTGGAGAGGAAAATGTCTCGTCGGGGCTTTACGTAAGGATCCTTTTGCACTTGTGATAAAAACTTGAGTGTCACGTTTCTATTTCACGCAAAATGATCGGTTGTTTACTTGCACGAGGTGGGAGGGGGTGGGGGGGAGTTAAGTGAAAGGGGGTGATGTCATTTTGCCGCAAGAAAATGGCACTTGACACTGGAGCGTAAAGCAATATGTGCTGGGGGCAATGAAGTTTATAGTGAAATTTTACTCAGCCTTGGAGGAAAATTGTAGGTATTTTAAGGGGTATTTTCACCTTCCGTTTTACCCCCTCGATTACTCGGGTAATGACTTTCATAAATATTCAGACGTGAGCGAGGGGAAGAGTGTCTTAAAGTTGTCTTAATTGGGGATGTCGAGCTGATAAAAATATCTTCAGGCATTTTTTGTAGAAAAACACGATTTTTTACGAGGGGGGTATTGTTGATAGCTACAATTTGAATAATGGTATTTGAATAAAATAAAAGTCTTCATTTAAAATTTTTGTATTAATTTCAAGATTAATAATTCAAATTTAATTTTGATTTTGTTGGAAATTAATAAACTCATGTTTATTTCAATGGAAACATTTCCATTATATTAAATTAATTCATTCACTCCCAACGAAGGGTTATTATATGTTGATAAAGTGGTCATTTGGGCTGGAACAATGTTTCGTCATAATTAAAAAACTATTTATTCGATGTGAATGAAAATGAAAAGAAAAATTGGGTTGAAGTTATTCAATTCCAAGAAACTATTTTTCTATATTAACTATTTCGATTCTATACTTCTTGAAAGTTCTATACTTCTTCCTCAGTTGAAAATGTTAATCAAAGTAGAGTCGTAAATACCAACGAAGTTATTTGGATCAAATAACGATTATTCGTGTTTAAAAAAAAATTCTTTAGTCGACGTGAACAAAAATACGAATAAAAATGAAAATTTCTATTCAACCGTTTAAATTATTACTAAGAAATGAAGGGATAGTATATAGCATATGCCTTCTTCATACTATGTGCGATGTATTTGCATAAATCTATTCATTTAACTCAACTAAAGTGTATTTAACTCCTGGAAACTATTTCTCTGTTTTAACGACACGATATTAAATTGAATTAAACTTCACAACATTGAAAATTCTCATAGACCTGTTACTTACAGTTCCAAAAATCTCAATTATGAATATTTTAATTCTAGACTCCTTGAAATATTCATATTTATTAATAATAAAGCCCGAAATCCTCAGCAGTATCACGTAAATAGCAACAATCTCATCATTTCTTCAGTCAAAAACGCCAATAAAAATTACGATTTCTCATGTTTTGAAAAAAAAAATTATTCAATGAATAAAAATCCAAATCTGAGGTTGAAGTCTGAATAAAAGCTTTAGTACTATAAAGTATCTTCGATATTAAAAATGTTCATCAAAATAAAACTGTAAATACCAAGCAAGCAATTCTCGGAATGTAGAGCCCCGCATACCCATTACTCTGTTTCAACGACTCGATATTAAATTAAATTAAACTTCGCAACATTGAAAATTCTCATAGACCTGTGACTTACAGTTCCAAAAATCTCAATTATGAATATTTTAATTCTAGACTCCTTGAAATATTCATATTTATTAATAATAAAGCCCGAAATCCTCAGCAGTATCACGTAAATAGCAACAATCTCATCATTTCTTCAGTCAAAAACGCCAATAAAAATTACGATTTCTCATGTTTTGAAAAAAAAATTTATTCAATGAATAAAAATCCAAATCTGAGGTTGAAGTCTGAATAAAAGCTTCATTACTATAAAGTACCTTCGATATTAAAAATGTTCATCAAAATAAAACCGTAAATACCAAGCAAGCAATTCCCGGAATGTAGAGCCCCGCATACCCAAACACCCCCCGTCCCTCACTTTAATCCCCCGAGTCTGTTCATGAAAATCGTACCCACTGGGTTAAATTCCAATAATGTTTACCGTTCATTATCATTTTCAGGAGGAATGTGCAACCCTCGAGGACGAGGTTGAGGATAGGGTTGCGAGTTTGGTTACAATGCTGCAGTCGAGAAAATCACGATTAATCGAGGCAGCGAGACAGACTAGAGACGCCCGAGTGAGATCACTGAGGGATCAAGTTGCGAGATGCGCAACTCATCTGCAAGCCACCACCGCCCTTTTGACATTCTGCATTGAAGCGCTCAAGGAAACGGACAGCTCGGCTTTCCTGCAGATTGGTGGTATGTTATCCGTTAGGGCTGCAACAGCCGCTGGCTCCTGGGGTGCTGCCGAGGGCGTACAGGAGATGGCACGTCTACCGTTACTAGATCTTACTCTGGATGACAAACCCGTCAGGCGTGCCATCGATCAACTAACCTTTGTACAGCTGAAACGTGAGTCTTGTCAGTATATTACGAAAATTTTAGGATTTGCGAGTGATTTGCAGTGATTTTAACTCACAAATATTCCTTCAACTACATTTTTCTCGCTAGAACTTTTTAACAATGAGATGAATGAACAGCCGGAGTCGAATATTTTGGCCTGAAAAATCCTGACGGAATTATTGTCGTTTTGTCCCGTTTTGGAGTTCCAGGTCTTCCCAGGATTTGACAGAGTCGAGTACGAATCCCGGAAATTTTTATCGTGTTTAATTTCCACTGAAATTTCAGGAAATCGTGGCACTGAAAAATCAATTAGTCCGCGAAAATTCGGAAAAATCAGGAGAATTTCCGGAAAAATTGAAAATTCATGTCATTTTGTTCTTGAATATTCATGTTCCGTTGACAATTCAATCAAGTTATGAATCAAGGAATGAATTTCCTTGAATTCTATCTAAAACGTGAAATATCCTAAACCACAAAGAATCTGCAGTAGTTTTCCTCTAGACTACACCTTCTTAATAAATAATTGAGTGAAATTTTTTCATTAAAAAATTCAAAAATTATGGAGGTTCGATTCCTAATATTGTTATTTATTAGAGATAATTTTTTATCTAGTTATCAACGAATCTTGATATGACCTTGAAACCTCCTAAACGGGACATAACTAGAATAATCAATCTGTCGTCTCGCGGACTTTTCAGGTAAAAAAAATCCTCGAACTAAGAATTTGCTTTCAACTGAAAAAAAATTTTCTCATTTAAAAAGTTGCCGAAATGCTTCACTTGCAAGCAATATTCATAATTCGAGAATTGTTTTCTCCAAATGCATGAACTCCCATTCTCAGTAGCTCGTTACTTCACGAAAAAACCACTGCACAGTAAAATTTAACCATAAATTCTCCCCTGTTGGACGCAGCATCAGAAGGAGAGGATCGATATCCAACCGCAGGTAACGACCAAAGAATAACCAAAAGAGCCCCTCCCCGAGATGTGTAAAGAGTGTGAGTGAGAGAGAGAGAGACAAGCTTGGCACGATAAGCACGATTTCTCCAGTAGTAGTTGGCCCTGTCCGCACGGACGCGCCTCGACGCCCTGAATTACTTGATAATTCCCGTCGTCCTCCCTCCGGGCGACTTCTTTAACGGTATTCCCACCTTTTACTGAGCGTTCCAAAAGCGGATTAATTAGGCACCCACTCCCTCCCCCTCATTCGTGTACTCCCCAGGTACCGGTAGTAACTGACTTAACGATCTACTGCATGCAGAGTCCTGTGATACTCCGATATAAACTGAAAGTATTTTTTTCCGTTCTATAATATTTTGCATATTGTAGAAGTATCTAAACGTGAATATGATATTTGTGTTTTTTCTTATTTTGGGTCGGTTTTTGAACAATTTCGGATTATTGGAGATGAGAACTGGAGTAGAGTAAGAAATGAGAAGAATTCATTATTTTCAATATTTTTAGTATTTATAAGATCTTATGCTCGATGCAAAATTTATGACATTTGAAATATCAGAAATTGAAAAAATGTCTCATCATTATTTGAATGTTTCATAAAGTAGTGTTAAAACATTTTGGCTAAAGTTCAAAAATTTTATGGAAAAATTAATGAAAATTGGAAATTCTCGGTGAAATGATTTCGTGAAAATTAACAGAAATCCGGAAAATTCAGGTAAATATATTCTTCGATTTTAGATTGATAAAAAATTCAGGAAAATTTCGTACTGAGCATTCATGTTTCGATTGAGCAATTAAGGATATTCAAGTATCTTTCAACCATTTTCAATCATCAAATTTGTTAATTGAATTGTGAGAAACATTTGAAAAAAATCATGAATATTCAGTGTCATTCAAATGACGTTTTGCACAGAATTACAATTTTTTTAAACATTCGTTGTGTATAAATAAATGATAACAATTGTAAACTTTCAGAAACCAATTTTTTTAGTCATGAAATCGACTTCTGGTAAAATTCTGAATATGAATAAATTTGTTACGATCCCGAACAAATGATTTTCATGGTGGAAAATTCATTATTTATAAATCATTTATAGAAAATGTTCGGAATTTTTTAAAATGGCAATTTTTTAATGATTTCATCAATTTTCCTCCAAAAGTAAACTTTATAGTTTTATTTTAGATTTTTAAAATGTTTTCTCACGGTTCATTATCGAGATTCAAATTCAGGCCTGCAAATTTAAATAATAAAATCATGGGGCTTAAATGAAAACTCTGATGTTTGTCTACAAAAGTAGAAAAACATTTCACTGGAGAAAAAAATAGCCAAAATGAAAATAGCCAATGAGAATTCTCCAACTTGAGGATATCCAATCCCCCAGTTAGAGAATTTTCATCGTTCAGCTGCTCAAAAATTTGTAATTCCATCGTCTTTCCCATGAAATCCAAACTTTCCTCATTTTCCCCCCAACTTGAATTCAGTCTCACTCTCCTCCAAATTACTCCTCAACCGACCGCAAATTACAATTTAATCCGTCCCACCACCGACTGATTATTTTCCATTATCGACACAATAACAATAACACCATAAAAATAACGCTCACACCATAAATGTTCATTTACGTCCCAAGTAAGACCACTCCGCCGGGGTATGAGAACTACTCAACGGAGGGTAGGAGCCCAGGCAGGAAGCGATAACGCTAATGATTCTTCATTATCCCGGGAAACGAGTATAACCCCCGGTGCAGTGTGCCTTCCGAAAGAACTAGTCCACAATATTCACGAAAATTTCTCCGTTAATTATTAATTAGCCGTCACGTGTCGTAAGTGCGCAGGTGGAGTCTGTCTAGACATCAACCTGAGGGCAATTTAATCAGTCGCGTCTAACCCCCTCATCACTTCTTCTTTCGTCCCCTCCCCCTCCCCCTCCATCGTACCGTCGCGAGCAGAAGCGCCCGAGAAGCAGTAAACACATATTCACGTATACCAGTGAAATGTGGTAAAAGGGCTTTTCGTAATTCACGGTAGTGTTACATTCTCCCGCTGAAATCCCTGCCTTAATGCTCGTTTGTACCGGCAAGGAGATTATGCGAGCGCATACATGCGTGAATGAGAGAGAAAGGGCGGGGGGGGGAATAGTGGAGAGTTATTGAATGTCCGGCCAATCCGCCATACAGGATTTTATTCCATTTGTCAGAGTGTACACTCGCGATTTTTTTTTCGAGACTGTATTTACCTCCCCCATTTCTCTCTGGATTTTTTTGTTAATAGGGGGTGAGGCGAAAATGTGTTGGATTAAATAGAGGAAAAAATGGTGAGTTTAAAAACGAATAATCGGGCGTTTTTATCTCTGCACGCTTTTTATCGCGATATTTTGGTGGAGGATTTCATGAGGGGTAGCGGTGGGGGTGGGTTTTTGGGGGTTTGAATTTTGTGGTTATGGGGGCTCGTGCTGATAACACTCTGGTCAAATGAATCAGGAAGGTTTGGATAATGGGGTTGATAAAGTGTGAAATGTGGGGTTAATTAATCGGGAGACATCTTTGGAGGTTATCGGAATATTTCGGGGGGGAAGGGTTTTTTTATTGGTGGAGGTAATTTGATTTTACAGCCGGAGACATAATGCAGTTGAATTGAATGAAAGACTTGTTTTGGAATTTTTTCGTTTATTTCAACAATTTTTTCGGTGGGGATTAATGAAATCAGTAGCGAAATGGTAAACCGGTTTAAGTGGACTCATCTCCCAGTTGAGTTTTTGAGGAAAATTTCCGAATCTAACGGAGATAGCGAAAATTCCGTAATTACATTTGTTATAGCTCTCAATCGGCTCTACAAAAAATGTTTTAACAAAAATTTTGACATCTCCCTTAGATTCCGAGATATTTATTAAAAACTGGTCAATAGTCAAAATTGACTTATACCGTTTTACCACTTCGCTACTGAAATGTATTCATTTTAAGGAGAATGAATCGATTACATGAAATTTATGCATTTGTTCATCGTGGATAAATTTTATATTCATTAAACTATCTAGTTGTTGTAAATAAAATAGTAAATTAAAATCAAGTTTTAGAAGATTGACTTTTTTATATTCAATCAACGCGGAAATTTCCGTTATTTGATAACTTTAATTTGGGTATTGGGAGTTTTAAATACCGGCGATAATGAGTGAAAACATTGAAATCAGATCGTTGAAGGTTACCTTTATATTCCTGGAGGGATAGCATTATTTCTGAACATCCTTTGATCCCTCCTCCATTCAATTCATCAGGGAATCCAGCATTCCGCCAGTCTCTGCATATCCCACGATCCTGAGTTTATGCATGTTGAGAGAAAAAAAATTACCTTTTCGATCAAACTTTTCAACACTAATTGGAATTCATTGGAAATTAAGTGATTGTCAATCCTTACATGAAATTAAATTGGGGATGATTTGAAAAATTGAGACAATCTAACATCAATTCTCATTTGCATTATCGTAAATAAATCAATTTATTAATTTCTATTAAAAATATTAGTGAAATGAACAAAAAAATTTATTTGATTTAAATGTGACTTTGACATGACACGAATATCCGCAACTTTCTTTCTTATTCATTCATTTATTATTTTACTATTTTATTTAGCCTAAGAATTACAATTGAATTATATTTAGAATAAATTGAAAAATTGAGCCAATCCAACATCAACTCTCATTTGCATTGAAATAAATAAATGATTTCCTTAATTTTTAGCAAAAGAATTATCTAACCGAATAGAAGAATTCTAAATAAAGGCTTTTATTTAATTCAAATGTGTCATTTCTCGGAGTAAAACTTTCTACTCTATTCTACCCAAAACTTCCCAACGACTTTGACATGACACGTATGGCCCTAGCATTCGATATTGTTTCCATCCCCATCCGGCAGCTTTTTGTAACCAATAAAAATAAGTGGAGGGAGGAATCATACCCCCGGGATTCCATCAAAACTTTTTAACATGAAAAACATCCAATCGCTCTTCCGAATAAATCAAAGAGCAATAATACTTCCCATTCACTCAAAAAAATAATTGTTCTTCTGTCGAGAATGTTTTTATGACGTGCAAGGGTAGTTCAGGAATTGGTTAACATGAAAATTCGATTGATTTGAATGCGGCTTTTGACTGAGGGACTGGTGGGTGAGGCACAAAGGAATGTAAAATCACTGATGGAATAGCGGAAAATGGATTTTAGTGGGGGAGAAATGCTGAAGTGAAGAAATTCCCGCTGCGGTCAGACAAGAGGCTTTTCCCTCCGTCAAACGCACGGGCGTCAGTGTGCAGCGGGTGAAGTGGTTGGGAATAACCGGAGGTACGTCAGTCAGTGGAGATAAACCGAGTGTAATCAGACAAGCCGAATGCTAGGCTAAATCATGAGTGATACATTTGGGTGACTAGTGGGGAGGGGTTTATTACGATGACAGTTGGTGGTCAACCACACTCAATACACATTCGTATTATATTCCATCGTTCATCGGGTCTATTCCCACATTAATGTCACAATAATTCAAACTAGGGGGAACATGACATCGAAGAAAACAGACTTGAGAGGAGAGATCGGAGAATAAATAATCACTATTATTCATTTTTCATTACAATATTAATGATTATTGAGTTTATTGATATTATTGATGATTTATTGATACGTTATTGAAATAAGTGAAATTGTCTGTTACTCATTCCGAATACAATGAAGAACAATTTCTTGTTATGACTTATTAATCAAATAATATGTCATTTTGGAGAAACTATTACTGAAATTAATATTTATAATAAAACAATTAATAATTACCATTATCTATTTTTCATTATTATATTAATCGTTATTGAAATTGAAATAATTGAAATTGTCAATCATTGATTTAGAAGATAACGAATAATATCTTATTATTATCACTCATGAATAAAAAAAATTAAATTTTACTGAAATCATCATCGAAAATCATATTATAGCCAATCGTTGCATGAGAGGAGAAATAACAACTTTTTTATAATTAAATAACATAATGGGTCCTTCATATATTCAACGCAACAAAACAGTGAAAAAATGTCGAAAAAAAGATGAACCCATCGTTAATCTCCCGCATTCATCGAATACAATTAGCCAAATGATAATTACCCCCATTAATACGGAAATTACTCATGTATTACAGCAGTTCAAACTAGCGTGAGCATAACATCACAGAAAACACACTTGAAAGCAGAGATCAGCAAATTAATAATTACCATTATCTGTTCTCCATTAGCACATTCACAGCCAATGAATAAAATAAAATTCTAATTAATCCAGTTGAAGAATGTCAATCTTCATTGTTGATTAATGAATTAAAAATCTTCAAATACGATGATTCATTAATACACTATTGAAACAATTGAAATTGTCAATCATTCATTTAGAATATAACAAAAAATATCTTCTTATCATCACTCATGAATCAAATAATACATAATATTAGTGAAATCATCGTCGGAAATATCGTGAGACAAAAAAAGAACTTTTTTCATCATTAAAAAAAACATAAAAGGTCCTCCATATCTTCAACGCCACAAACCAGTGAAAAAATGTAGAAAAAAAACGATAAACCCATCGTTAATCTCCCACCTTCATCGAATACAATTAGCCAAATGATAATTACCCCCGTTAATACGGAAATTACTCACGTATTGCGAGTCAACAATTAATTCATACACACGTAAAACGAGAATATATTTTCCCATTATTGCAGTGGCACGTTTCGAAGTTCATAAATACAAGTAGAAAGGGGGGGGCGGCGGGGTGAAGGCAGCTGTTGGAAAATTTCTCCCTCCAGTGTGTGTGTGCCGGAGAATGAGCTTGGCAACGATGCAATAAACTGAGGTTTTCGTACTGGATACTACGGTTGGATTGCAGAGAGAACCAATCAATTTACGTTTAACCTCCCCCCCCCAAACTCTCTCCCACATTCTCGTTTCCTGCGTCAAACTCCGCCGGAAACTTATCACTTTGACTTCAATTTTCCCTCTCGACTTTGCAATAAAGCAAACCAAATGCCGCTACAATGTTCTTCACAATAAAACATTCAATTCCCCTGAAATGATATTTCACGAATTAAAAAATAAGCCATAAAAGCGTGAATAAATGGGAATTGATTGCGGCATAAAACCAAACATCCAAGAATTCTCCCGTGAAAAAAAAGAAGAAAAAAAATTAATTCTCCTTCCACTCACTCGTAAAATGAAATAGGCTAGAATTTGTGTAATGAAAATAGCCTGCAGGTGTAATAAAAAAGTCCTAAAAATAATTGTTGAGATCATGAAGAGGGAGCAGTAGGAGGCCTTTGGGGTTTGGAGTCATAAGTCGATTCAGTTAAAACCACAAAAGTCCATATCGTGCAAGTGAGTGGAGGGGTGAGGGGCTGGACTCTAGGAAACTTATTAGGAGTTTCTGTGGAGTGCAACGAACTTTCGGTGGGCAGGAATGGATCCCTCCGTGGGCATATTTCCTCCTCTGTTCTATCCTAAAACCACACGAACTAGGCCTACAAATAACTGCTCACACCCCTCACATTTTTCTTTCCTCCGTGTACACAGATGTCCAACAGTTACGATATAATTCATGCACTCGTACCAGGAGGGAAAAGTCCTGCGAAAATTATCCCTCAGCCCTGATAAATGGCGCATTTGGATGAAATAAAACATCTAACGAATTCGTTCAATAATAATTGAATTTCTGAGTCGTAAAGTCTTTATTTGAATGAGAAAACATTTTTCGGTATTTAAAGAACTATTGATTTTATGGGAATAGACATTTATCGCGTATCATATTTAGCTAAATCTGTTCATTTTATTCGAATGAATCAACTTCTTTTATTCAGTTTGTCACGGAAAATAATATTTAGTCTTCATGCGCTCACAGGAAAAATTATCCATGCTATACAAAGTTGTTTGAGATACGAATTCAAATGTATTTTTTCATCTGAAACAAATTTGTTCGGCATTAAACAATTTTTCTCCCAGTGCACACCATTTTTTTGTGTTCAACATTCAATTTTTATCAATGTTCGGGATTGAAATGAGAAAAAATGGCTCGTGATAGATTTTTCTACGATAATTTCCATGATTCTTTTCTCTTTATGTCAATGGTAGAAAATAATTGAAATTTCGCTGATAGTTGATTAGTAATTTTCAGGAGACCTACATTGAATTCGATTCGGGAAGAATAAGTCATGTAATTTCAAATTCCAAATTTCAAATTTGAGCAACTGTGAAGACAATAATTCCCTGATTTATTTGAATATTCATGTATGTACTTGAATTCTTTATTTCTATCAATTTTCTTAGAATATTTCAAATAAAATTCCAATTTCCATTGATTTTTCCACAAAATTGTGAACTTCCAATTACGAAATTCCCTGAAATTTGCAGGAAATTTCCAGGTGTACGTAAAATTTCAGGCAAAAAATTTCAACGCTACAATTGAGTGCGAATTTTTCACCAAAATGTAGATACACAATTTTCACCGTTGGTGTTGAGGTCTGGGGCCGCGAAATCGACCTCGAATTTAATTGAATGTTCGGACCAGTGAACAAGCTGTGCTACGTATTACCCACCTATATCCTCCGGGGAAAAGCGCGTAATGCCTTCGTTTGTGTGTGGCTGTCTGCGTTAGATAAACTCACGGCTCCCAACAAAACCCACCGTCCCCGTGATTCTCCCGTTTTTGTTGTTTCTCTCTTCATAAATACAGAAATCAAATAAAATAATTGGGAAATATGCGGGGCCTTTTTTCTGCAGTCATTACGAAAGCGTGAAAAAAAATTTTTTTGGTTCGCGGGGGTTATTTATAGAGACAAACGAGAGCGAGAATTGTTCTCTATCGGCAGGGGTGACATGCTGCAATTGTGGGTGGAGAAAGGGCGGAAAAAATGACCCAGTTGCAGAGGATTCTTTTCTGTTCGTCACTAACAGTCTGAAAAAAATGATGTGATTGGTTTTTCATTTATTTTTTTTCTTGTGGATTATGACTCTAATATTTTTGTAGATTACTGACAATTTAATTGAATTTTATCTTTTTCGTCTAACAAACCTTTGATTTTTTATGCAATTGAACAATTTTTAAAAATTGAAGCTGTAGATTGCACCTGTTACATAGGTTTTTTATAATTGTGGATGAACTTTTTTTTTCATCGAAATATTTGTTTTTCAAATTGTTTACGACTTTTGTAACTAACTCTGCACGAAAAGAAAAATTCATTACTTATGAATTCATTTTCGAAATTTTTACAAAAATGCAATAGATCCAGTGAAAATTCCCATGTTTTTATTCTATTACAAATGTTACAAAACTATTGTAATTTTTACTAGAATTGCTGCATTTTTTACTCCTTTCAGGGAAAATTTAATGATATTGGACTTTGAAAATAATGATTTCCAACGGATTTTATCCTCTGTGTGCAAAACAAATAATTCACAGAGATTTTTTTTTATTTTCAGGAACATAGCACTGATTTTTAGAAATCTACCACCAATTATTGCACCCTGGCTGATCACCAGTGACTTCTATCACTGAAATTAGTTGGTAGATTCCTAAAAATTAGAGATGAGTCCCTGGAAGTTCGTGGCTGTCGCTAAAAATCAGTAACAAAATCACTGAATTTCAGAATTTCGCATTCGTTGTTTTTTATCGAAAAATTTGTTTTTCAGATTCTTTACGACTTTTGTGACAATTCGTTACTTATGAATTCATTTCGGGAATTTTTACAAAAATTCCATATTTGAAAATTCCCATATTTTTATTACAAATTTCACAACAATATTGTATTCGCGAATCCATAATAATTCGGGATAAATTCCTAAGAATCATAACTTCTCTTTGTGTCCACATATTATCCAAACAATCTCTCACAAAAAAAATAATTTCAGCCCCTGGTGCACCGATCCTGCTGCCCGAGGACTGCAGCGCCGAGAATAACAGCGTAACGGTTGCCTGGCAGCCACCACCAGGCCACGGGATTGGATGTGGTCAGCGCGGTCCAGCAATCGAAGGTTATCTCCTGGAGCTCGACGACGGATGTGGTGGAGAGTTTAGGGTGAGATACACAGACTCAACAATACTTTTACCCTGTCTCCATAAACCAAACGCAAAAGTTGTTGTGTCCCACGAGAGAGTATGGGTGGGATACAAACAGTCCACTGGGGAAACCCATTTGGCTCGGTGGGGCCTCTTCCCCTCGGCTTTCTCAATACTTTTCTGGCCCTCAACCCACTTCACTCCAACTAAATCCTCACTCTCTCTTTCTTTCACTGTTTTCAAGTACACTTTAACCCTCGCACTATCCCTCCCATCCGCTTTTTCGTCTCGGTGACAATAACGGTTGCACGAGGAAATCGGTTTACTTACCACCCTTGACTATCCAACCCCATCGTACATAATACAATGCCGAGACTTTCCGAGGAAACTTGAGAGCTAACTCGTGTTTTCAGATGGACTTCAGTTACTATCGCTGATTACATTCTCAATGAAATTGCTTCGGGATATCTTTCCAATAATTATTTAAGTCAAAGAGAGAACTCCTGCAATTTCATTCTCTCGGAAACAAGAAGAATAGTAGAAGAAAAAAATATACACGAATAAAAATTGTGAAGACGTTCAGCTTCATCAACTGCTCGATCGTTAATCCTTCAGTTGTTATTTTCGTCTTTTTAAATGATTAATGTTATAACTTTTTCATCAAAAGTTTTAGAATTCTCATTTCTTTCCCCATTGACTTGAATTTTAAAGATTTTTGTTTTCAAATTGAGTGAGCAGTTGAGTTTTATTTTCTCCATTTGTTTTCAATTTCAAGTTACATAGATTAAAATAATATTAAAAAATAGGTTTTTTATTTATTTTTATTTCGGGGAGGATGGGGCAAAACGGCCCCCCTTCAATCGTCAATATTTTCCGATTCAATAATCCGATTGGGATGAGTTAAAGCTCGTTTTGAAGAATGAAAAATTATCTTCAAAATGAAGTTGAAACTGGGAATTTTCACGATGTCATTCACAAGTTATTGACAATTGAAGAGGGGCCGTTTTGCCCCACCCTCCCCTATTTAAAATTGTGGAGCCGTTGTTTTGGATTCATCCACTTATCGACCATTAATTTTTAACTGTTATTTCCCAATGACTCAAATTGAAAACTCGCTAGTTTTTATTTTGCGAACAATTATCACTCCAAATAAATAGGTTTTTGTATCCAATTTCAGAGATGTTTCGTCTGAAATAGCACAAGCCATTCATTTCGTGTGTAATTTTCAATCTTCAGTTTCTATTTTCCGGTTCGTTTTTAATTCAAAATTAGCTGTGCTGAAAATAACTGAAAAATCAGGTTATTCTCATTGAAAAGCATACGCCCTTTCCCCTCGAGAATGAAAAAATGGAGCAGATTTTTTCATCAAACAGAAAGCTCAAATTCTTTGCCCTACAATTACCCCTCCTGTCTCTCAGAGATGTGTGACATTCGCAGTGAACATCAATATTAGCACGGGAAAAAAAATCCTCATAACTGACTGAGCATATAGAATGACACGTCTCTGTATTTACTCTGAGAAAGCTCGTAACTGGTCGTTAAGCCGAGGGAGTAAAAGCTTACGCTCGTTAATTCCACGTTACCGGCTTAACAGTGCCAGCGTCAGGGCCGTATAACCGGGAGCCAAAAGTTTCTCATTTCAGTGCTGGCCGTCCTGAGCAACACAGCAGCCAACTCACCGTGATTTTACCCAGTTTAACGTATTAACGAAAATCATTTCTGATGCAGGAGGTTTATTGTGGACGAGAGACCATATGCACTGTTGATGGTCTACACTTCAATTCACTCTACAATGCTAGGGTCAGGGCATTCAACAGCGCTGGTGAGGGAGAGTACTCCGAGCTCATTGGGCTCCAAACTGCTGAGCGTAAGTTCATTTCATTCCCTTTTGTTATATTTTTTTCTTCCATTTCGTGAAGTGAATTAGAATCGACGAGCGTCTCATCTGAATATGCAAATGCTTTTTGCGGGGATGAGGGGAAAATTGATTTTTCCTTTTTGATTTTCAGAGGTTGAAAATCTGAATGGAACTTCAATTTCATTCTGATGTATGATTGACGACGATCGGATTTCAAATTTTCATTTTTTTCATTTTTAAGAAATGTTTATGAATTTTTGATTGCATTCTCATTGGATTTGACGCATCAAGTTAAATTTTGTATAGTTTGAGAATTTAAAGTAGTGTTAACTTGAATAGTTTCAAATTTTCATGATCTTTTAAGTGTTTCATCATTGTATTACAACAAAATTATCATTTTCCTTAAGTGTAAAAAAAATTGTCTGATTTCCCCGTCACAAAATCCATTGAAATACCATATTAATGAGTAATCACTCAATATTTCAAGAATTTATATCTAATAAATCTCGAAAGAATTCTTCCAATCTCGAGCGAAAACGATAACAAAAGAATGTAAATGCCTCACCTCGTCTTTAATTTCTACAATCGTTCCGGAAGTGAATTAAAATCGAAAAAAATCTCATCAAAATATGTAAATGCCAATGTTTCTGTCGGACGAGGAAAAAGTTTTCTTCCTTATTTTCGAGAATGAAAAAACTGAGTGAAACTTTAATTTCATCCTGCTGTTTGATCGACAGTGGCGTGGTTCTCATGGGCATCTGGCGCACCGGGAATCCCCCAAGAGGTTACGATATCCGAGGATGCGATGAGCGCATCGTGCGAGGGGTATGAGCATCGAGTTGTTTTATCGAGCGTCGGATTTTCCCGGGGAATCCACTACTGGGAGCTCACCATTGACAGATATCACAGTGACACTGATCCAGCCTTTGGCATTGCTCGGGCTGATGTATCACGTGACAAAATGTTGGGTGAGTTGTACATTTCATCATTAATTCATTTCAATCAGCGTGCTTTGAAGTGAAAATGTCAAGAGATATTTGTCGTTGGGAATTACCCGGGTCACGAAGGAGTCTTTTGACATGTTCTCTTGCATTCAGTTGTTCTCGAAATAAGAAAACAGATCTTCAGAGCGCCAAAATCCCTAGAATTAACGAAACACTGACCATAACAAGTAAATAATCCTCCACATGAACAGCCTTTTGATCAGCAATCTCATCTACACCGGCAAATACCCAAGTACCATTACCTGTTCTCCCCAAACTTCTATAAGCAATACGTCCCGCTGAAATTACAAGTGCCAACAAGCAACCCCCAGCCTTTATTCATGATCCTCAATGTCCATTTAACGTGTTCTGATGCAAGGACGACAAGCGTCGTCGTGATTTGAGGAGAAAATGTCAAGAGATATTTGTTGTTGGGACTTATCCCAGTTACGAAGGGGTCTTTTGACATGTTCTCCTGCATTCAGTTGTTCTCGAAATAAGAAAACAGATCTTCAGAGCGCCAAAATCCCTAGAATTAACGAAACACTGTCCATAACAAGTAAATAATTCTCCGCATGAACAGTTTTGACCAGCAATCTCATGTACACCTGCAAATATCCAAGTATCGTTACCTGTTCCCCCCAAAATTCTATAAGCAATACGTCCCGCTGAAATTACAAGCGCCAACAAACAACCCCCAGCCTTTATTCATGATCCTCAATGTCCATTTAATGTGTTCTCAGGCAAGGACGACAAGGGTTGGAGCATGTACATAGACCGTCAGAGGTCGTGGTTTATGCACGGTGGTGGTCATGCCCAGAGGACTGAGGGTGGTGTACAACAAGGATCAACGGTCGGTGTACTCTTGGATCTTGATACAACTCATACCCTCCGTTTCTTCGTTGATGGCCAGCCACAGGGTGGAATAGCATTTCGCGATCTATACGGTGTATTCTATCCAGCAGTCAGTCTCAATCGTGGTGTAACTGTAACTCTTCACACCGCCATTGATCCCCCTCGCCACTTACTAGCACTTCACGAAGAGTATATCAGTGACATTGTTCAGAGCTAGGGGTACCTCAATGTCCTTAAGAAGGGCCTCATGCAGAATCATGAGAGTGGTATTGTCGATTACGACAGGTCCAAGGAGCACAATGATCTTCACAATCAAACGTTGGAGAAAATTGTCGAGGAAGGACCGGCCGAGATCAACTGACAATGCTTGGTCCAACATCACAGTACATTGACATCAATTAGACACATTGTCCCATATTTTTAACATTTCAATTCACTGTTTTGATTCAGAGAGGGCTGAGGGACTTGCGTAGACGATTAAATTCACCTTGATATTCACTTTGAAACTAGATACATTCAAATATCGTTAGGGAGAGCTTCATTGAAAATCATAAGCATTGAATCCATCGGTACTCACTGCTCAATTCAAGGAAATAAAATACCTTTGACGTTATGAAACTCAATTTATGGCCTGGTGTAGAGTGTATCGAGAGTATATGTGGGCAAAGCCAAAGTACGGTTAATGATGTAAACTCGTTTGCAAATGTTGGTATATCGATCAAAGGTTACTCCGCTGGCTTTGATGTTTTTCTTTTTTTTCCACCAAGCGAAGGGAAAAAGTGAGCACATTTTTTTTACAACGGTGTACTACGCTTTTTTTGTTCATTCGAGAAAATAATAATATCGCTGCCACAAAAATCGCTTCGTTTGTAACGATTTAAGACTGATTCATCGAGTGGACTCACCGAAAATTGTCGAGAGCGAGGAAATTGGATGGAATTTTTAGCACTTGCGAGTGTTTTGTATGAGAGTTGGGAGCCTGGATGCACGTAAGAATGGTAAGACTGTATTTTATTGAGATAAATATGAAACAGGGGATATAAAATCAATAAGAGGAACAAATTGAACACTGATTCTCACGTAAAAACGAAAAAATTCAATCTAAAACTCACCAGTGTGACACTATCATATCGAACGTATTTAAACGGATAGACTTAAGTGTATCAGTATCATAGTATTAAAGAAAAATATAATAAAAGTACCGGAAATGAGGATAACCAGAAAGAGAGAGAAAGAGAGAGAGAGAGCACTTAAAACACACAAAATAAACAGAAGAATGGTTTTTCTAGTCCTAGAGAATGATTTCAAAATCAATTTTGTATACTTCTATGATCGTTAATTTTCTCATTGTATTCATATCTCATCATTCGGTGTAACCCTCAAATTTCACATCAGAATTAACAAATAGCATTTAAAGGGGAAAATGGTGTTGTGGGTGAGGAACGGGCTAATTAGCTACTACGACCGCAAATTTGTGGACGGAATGACGCGGTCTATTCACTGGACAGGGTGGCACTTGCTATTGGAAAAGGGCCTCAACGTTAATAATCCCGAGTTCACTCAGCAGTTGATCAGTGGACAAAAGGGCGAAATAATGCATCAAAAACAGTCTGTAAATACTTGTAAATAGCATTTATCAATGATATCGCCGATGAAATTGCCAATTGTAAACATTTATGACTATATTCGACCAATAAAAATATTGCTGAATAAAGAATAAATCACTGGGAAAATAAGGGAGGATGTCAGTGTCTGAGATACAAATTCCAAAGCTTCCCTAGAGATCTCTTTACTTATCCTGATCTCCCCGAAACTGCCTCGGGCATAGAGGGCACATAACTTCCGGTTTCATCTTCTTTCTCTTCTCTTATTCCCTCGTTCATTTATCCTTCCCTGCGTACCTTCGACACCATTATTTACCGGATTTTTTTCCAAGGCTTCTTTAATACGCATTTTTTTCTTGCTTTTAGGGATTTCCGACGGGTCTATCTGTTTGAAAAGATGATGGATAATGTATTATTGAATTCCGTCAGTCGGCAGACTGAATATCTTTGAATCACTTTCTGTCGGTGACAGAAAATGTTGGATGGATTTTATTAAAAAGGGAAAGGGGAAAGTTGCTTTTGAGACACAAAATTCCGATGAGTGTTGGGAGTCTCATAGGGGTCCGGAGGCTCAAAAGGTCATGTGAAGGCCACGTGGAGGTTTTATCGAGGTCATATAGGGTCACAAGAAGGTCTCACAGGCCTTATGCAAGTATAATATAATTTGGCAAAATGATTTTCTTCGCAATATTGTGAATTATCAATTTAATTCAGAGAAGATGATGAATAATGGGTTATTGAATTCCCTCAGTCGGCAGATTAAATATCTTGACTGAAAATGTTGAATGAATTTTTTTGTTAAGGAAAAAGGAAAAATTCTTTCTGAAGGAGATATTCTTGCAATGAAATAAAGTCACGAAATTCTTATAAGGGTGGGGAGTCTCGCAAGGGTCAGGAGGTCCGAAAGCTCATGTGAAGGCCATGTGGAGGTTTTATGGAGGTCATTAGGGTCATGTGAAGGTTGTACGAAGGTCTTATGAAGTTCATATAGTGCATATGCAGCATAGATCGGCATCAATCATTACTTTTAGTAATATTATGAGAAGTTGCACCTTACAGTAATTTAGATTTATTTATCGTAATTGAAATTTGAAAATTAATACAACAATTAGTAATATAATTTCTCAATCATTGGTTGACAAAATAATTCGGAATTTGAAAATTTAAATTGATGGTTATTTTTAAAAATCAAAAAATAGATGAATAATATTAACAATTGACGTATTCCAAATTTAACTGCAATTCGAAATTTCGATTATGCCGATGTTTGATATGTAGCTCTTACGCATTATGCAAATATAATATCATTCTAAAATTACGAATTATCTGCTTCGTATTTTTTCCAGTTCATTCTTTTCGAAATCCCCATAACTCCATGTAAATCAAGCACACAACAGCCCAAAGCGTTCAATATCACTTTGCAACCTCCATTCGAAGTACCTTTTTCATGATATCGTGAATAATCAATTTCATTTAATTCCGCTACTTTGTTCTCTCGGATATATATCGAACACCACAGCAGTTTTATATTCGCGAATTTTTACGATCTGTCCACTCCAACCGTTTCTTGCTATCGCAACTGCCACAGCACAGCTATAAAACCGACATTTTTATGCTCAACCCATGTGACATCCAGCATTTTTCATTTCATGTTCAACAAGCGAATATCTACATATATTTTTTCACCGAGAAACTACGTTTTTACGAGAAACCGAAACTCATAAATGGCACTGAAGTATCGATAACCCCTGGAATTCTCCCCCTCAATATTTAACTGCTCTAATTATAAATTGTATTACTGTTGATTCTATCCGGCAGACCGTTCAAATTGACCCATCAATCCTCCACCCAACAAGGCACGAATAAAAAAGGATAAACACCCCCCATTTCTTCCTCTTCCTTATTTACCCTCAAGAATTGAGCTTAAGCTGGTCAAGAGAATGTAATATCGGAGAGAAAGAACCCACCTAGTTCACGAATGGCTTCTAGACGCGTGCGTGTGCCTTGGAGCGTGAAGAGGGATTACAACTAGAATGCCTGTCCCCTCGTGTGTTTACCGGTCAAAAAAACCTCAGTGAAATAAGGTAAAACGAGAGGAAGAGAAGAAAAAAAACTTCCAAAGGAACATCCGATTGTCGAGCAGCGAGGGTAAGTACTCGCCTCTTTTATAGCTTTTTTTTTCTGTCTATTGGATGGGGACATTTGTGTCCGATGGACACATTTGTGTTTGAAAAGAGATGAATAGGGCATGGCCAGCGTACAAAGGGAGAGCGAGAGTGGGTGGGTGACAGGAATGCGAGTTGGAGAAAGTTGGATTCAATGGCAGTCTTGCATTCTAAACGATAGGGTCAACTCTCAAAGGCTCCACCTGTTAAGCCAATCATCAGCCATTCTTCATTGGATTTTCTCTGTTATCTGATGTGTAGACTCACAATCAGATGTTATAATGAATTGTCTGTTGAGACCTTGGAAGGGCTCGATGCAGAATTATGAGAATGGTATATGCTGCTAGAAATTTCTCGAAATTTCATGTAAGATATTATAGTAAATCTCATGTGAGTGACATTGCATCGGATTTCAGGAAAAAATAGTTATGCAATTTCAAGTTTTAAGTAGAATTCACGGAAATTCATGAGTTTTCACAACTCGATTGAATTTTCAGTGGGACATGAGTATTCAAAAACAAAATGACAGGAATTTTCAATTCCTCTCTGAATTTTTCTGACTTTTCTGAATTTTGATTTCCGAATAATTGAAATCAACAGAATATTTAATTTTTCAATGATAAGATTTTCTGAAAATTCAGTGGAACTTGAACACGATAAAACTTTCCGATAAAATTTCCTGTACTCCAAAAAACTGTCGAAGAAGAAGCGATCGAGATCATGTGACAGTACCTGAACCACATTCCAGTGCATTGACATCAATTAGATACTCCGTCTCAAGTTTCCACCATTTCTATTCACTGTTATGATTCAAAGAGGGCTAAGGGACTCCCCTAGACGATTGAATTCACCTTGCAATTCGCTTTGAAACTAGAGACATTCAAATGTCGTTAGGGAGGACTTCATTTAAAATCATTAGCATCAGAGCTGGGCAAAGTACTATTTCAAATATTGATGACTAATTACAGTTTCAGAGTTATTGAACATCGGAAATAGAATCGCATTTAAATAGTTGGATTAAAATGAATGCTATTTGAAAATAATTTCTGTTGTCAACTGATGAAATACGGCAAATTTGAAATAATTCATCGAATTTTCTTCAATTTTTTTTATTACTTGAAATTTTTCCTTTTCTACAGAAGACATTAGAACAGAAACAACAATGAGAACTAAGAAACAATAATTAGAAACAACACTTTTTCAAAATATCAAATGTAATGTCCTCCTACCTACTCCAAAATTCTATCCAACAATATCCTGTGACGTCACAAGATGTGAAACGTTATATAAAGTCCCGTGTTTAGTGATAATCAGGGTAAATAACCCATGGACGAACGTCGATAATCCGTCCATTCAGCCAATTCTTCGTAATTCATTGCGATTACGCTACCGCGAGAGAGCAGTAAAGGTGATAAGGGGTAGGAAAGCAAATATTCGTAGGAAAGAAAAACCATTTCATGTAAAACCAAATAGTGAAATAGAGAAAAAAAATAGTAAGTACTATTTCATTTTCTGTTTCGTTGAAATAAAATATTAAATAACTGCTTTATTTCAATTTCAAAAAGACATATCAATAAATACCATTTGATCGACTGAAATAATCAACTTGAAATATACAGTTCAAATAGTATTTCATCGTACTGAACCATTTGGAATGGCCTTTCTATTTGATTTTCATAAAATAGTGCCCAGCTCTGATTAGCATTGATTCCATCAGTACTCCCTGCTCGATTCGGGTGAATGAAATACCTTTGACATGTGTGCAAAGCCAGAGTGCACCTATCAATCCAATCATCAGTGATTCTCCCTCTCTGTTCTCTTCTAAATTATTCAAACGCACAAACAGAAGAATGAGACGAGATATAAAACCACAGACTCAACAAGAGGAAGAGTATTTCCATCGGTTTTACCTTACAATACGATCAGAATCTCCGACAGATGCACATTGAGACTGAAAAGATCACAGAAGAAAGGGAGTAAGAAAGAAGAAAAAAAAGTTGAGAAGAAAAGTGCATTGGTTCCAAGGCATCCTTTAATGTAATTCGTTGAGATGGAACAGATTTTTCTTTCATTGTGATGGTTATAAATGCAATCTGAGGGCTCAGACATTCTACAATGATAATGGAGCACGTGGTATTCTAGGTGGGATAGTAATGTTACCAGTTCCCTCGGTCTTTTACGACTTAGCAAACGTGACAAGGGACATTTGATTTGGGTTGGAGTGTGTGTGTATAAGTTTCTAGAGCGTGGGTTACCACGAGTGGTAGCTAGTGCTTTCCTCGCAGAAGGAAAACAGTATGGGTTTCAGGGGGTGCGTGGTTATAATGGGACAGTTGGCTCTCGTGGATGTATTTTCATCTCTCTCGTTCTCCTCGTGACTGAGAGTTATATTGGATTTTCTTGAGTTTAGTAAACTTGTAAAAGGCCGCTGTGTTTGGGATATTGAGCGTGGCACATATAAGTTTGAGTAAATGCTCACAAGTGTTGCTTCAGGTTTTTCGGTAAACAAGAGATTTTCTTGACATTCCTTGCGACTGGAGTTTTGTAAATAGATGAGATTTGAGTCGTTATGTAATTCGTGTTGTTTTTGGAGATTTGGGGCGCCTCGGATTGGCTCAATGTATAAAAAATTTCATTTTGAGACCATTCGAATATTTTCTTTTAGTGGAAAGTTTTCTTGAAGCATAATTGTCTTACAAAAAAATTATTGTGCAGGGAACATTATTAGAAAATTATTATTATATAGACAAATTTTCTGGATAGGAAATTTTTGCTAACAAAAAATTCTGCTCTTGAAACCTTTTCACTAGATAAACTTTGTTAAATTGTTAAATTTTGTTATAGCATAGTATTTCTGCAGAAAAATATGAAATAGTGAAGAATTGCGTGAGAAAAATTTCTCAGCCTCATTCAAATTACATTTTGCACAGAATTATTATTTTT